TGCAAAGTAGGGAAAATTCCTTTACGACGGCGTATTCCTAAATGATCAACCAGTTTGTGAATTGCCAGTTATTATTGAAATGTTTAGACATTTTCTATAACGTCTTGTATCGAGGACACATTTCTCGGTTTTCGAATCTGTTTTGGAATACACTACAACATTGAATTTATCATACTTTATTTATATGCATACTTAATTAATCGATTATTTTATTAAATTGATTAAACATTTATCAGTGATTGTACTTCTAAAGTTTGAACGTTATTATACAAATATATCATGCTTACAAGGGGTATTTGCCAAAAATACCGGTTGAGAAGTACATATTTCCAGAGCCGTTAGGCGAGGGAAATTTGATTACCTCGAAACCGGTATTTTTGGCAAATACCCCTTGTAAGCATGATATAATTGTTTTATTCCACCGAATGTTCTTTGTATCCATCTTGACCTCAGAAAGTTTATTGTAATCAGGTATCATATGGAGTTTCTACTTGAATGTATAATTTTTGTATATACTGCAGCTGTGCTATTTGCGCAGTCAAATTGCATTGGCCGTAAAATCATTTCTGATCATTTTTGATGTGCAGTCACTGATCGTATATATATATCCCTGTTTATGAAAAGCTGGTTCTCGGCTGAGTACTACACTTTGTTCATCAGTTTGAGTGAAGCGTAATACAAGCGGATTCCAGTTTATGTTTATGACTGGTTGACAATGTGTTTCCGTTAAGTTTTATTTATGACGTCATTACAAGTACAGGTTCGCGGAATTTTGACGTTATTCGCTCTAAATTCAATAACGATGTTTTTTATCCTAAATATTTCATTTGGAACCGTATATTAAGAATGACCATAAATTTGTCCTATTAGATTAGAAATAATTCTGGGTTATTTTTAGAGATAGTAATCCCCATCTGCCATGGTATTTGCTAGAAAATACCCCGGCACATGGAATTTCCTAATGACAAATACCCCGGCAGAGAAAAGAAAATCTCAATACATAGAAATTGGTGAAAAATACCATGTTTCTCATCTAATCAAAATACAGCATTATTACATAAGGTGGAATTATATGTTAAATCGGTGTGAATTTACGCGTTACCTTCCTCTCATACAGAGATTTATTGCAATGAAAACACGATTTCATCAGACCTAAAACACCACTAAAAGCTAAAAGGAACAAATAATATCTATGTTCCTGTTTGAACTACAGGTTTTATCCTGAAAATGCTGCAGCTGCAGCTGCATGTTTTTAATTTATTTCTAAGCATACATTTTTATACTTAAGGGCTTAGCTCATTCAATAAATTAGGTAAAATGATAAAATTACTTCTACAAGGTTTATTACAAAAATTCTCAGGAACTCAAATCACCATTATAATCTTTAACCTATAAAAATGTTATTAAGATTAAATTTAATCAGTTTCTAACATGTACATTTACATACTTTAGAACTTTGAATGTTCATCTTGCTCTTGCATGACGCTTTCTTTCACTTTAATATTATGGGAGATCTTTCATCCGATCATTTGATACATTAATTTCAAAGAAAATTTAATGTTTCAAGAAAAAAAAACATGTTCATTAACAAGATTGAACAAGATGTGTTTCTGGTCACGTGACTGACGGAAAACGTCACGAACCCTTTACAACAATTTAACTTCGTTATACCGTATAACCATCGACGGCGTTGTTATTGAAATATTGACTTTTTAACTAGGCAGTGCTCGATAAATTGAAATCAAATTTCTTATAATTAGTTTATTTTATAAAGACATATCTTTTTATGATAAACATTAATTAATAAGTTGATGTTCATTAAAGGTGAACAGGTATATTTGATTAAATTCGTGCGAATATTACATTTATGCACTGTATAACTCTTTCAAATTTCTTATACAATTGTGTTCATTCTGTTTTAGGGTGAGTGAAATAATATTTCTAAAGTGAAATGCTGGAAATAATATACTTTAATCGATCCATTGAATAGTCTGACTTCCTACTTACATGACGTGACGACATGATTTACACGGACTGACGAAAGTAAACTATCAATGGTATCGCTTCTAATTTGACTAATATGAAAATCTGAATTAAACGTTTCTGAAACCAAAATGTGTGCGTTTGTTCAATAGAGTTATTATTTCAACCAATCCCACAACACATCTTAGCATCCGAAATTAATAGTTTTTCTAACACAAATGTATTCTACAATTTACTATTCCAATGAGTTGATTTTCAAATTTGAAACCAAATTGAAGCGAATATTTCAAAATCCTTTGTTCACGTATTTAGGGTTTTTCATTACGCATCGAACTAGCTATAGTCGGATTACATTATACATATGTTCAATTGCTATATTGGAAAGGTCATAAAAAGAGCATAATTTATATGATCTACAAATAAGGTTATCAAAGCCAATTGACTCAATGATTTTAGAAATTGCATTATACGAAATTGCTCAAAACATGCATGCACTGTCTTTCCTATAGATACATTAAATACGTTTTATTCAAAGGTAACATCATTAACATCGTTATAATTTGTTGATGTTGTTTTTATATATACAAAAATACTTATTCATTGTGTAATTTCAATATATGAGATGAGTTAGAAAGAAATCAACCTTACGCAAATGAATATCAATACATTTGTTAACCTATTTCGGGTTGAAAAAAATATCTATGAAAAGTCTGTAACTGTTTGGAAATTGAGTTGATAGAAGGACCCTACAAAACAGACCAAAATTCATCTTTCATTTCGTATTTGAATGTTTCAAAATCAATCAAAGTCTTATATATGTACATGTATATTTACACTTGAATAAGGTCCATTTCTATCCGACTCAGCTCATATGTATAAATACAAATAATATGAAAAGACTATGAGGGGTGGTTTGATTTTCTACCAAAGACCACAACAGGACGACCAAATTAATTTCTAATCATAACATTTAAGAATCTTTCGTCCCTCTTTTAAGACATTTTACGAAGGCGATATATTATTTTTGTTTTTTGTTTCTTACAACTTCTCAATATTGCCGAAACATACTCTCAATTTGTTAAATTTATTCACATCTTTATATCTTTATACATGTCTAAAAATGTTAAGTATAAGTATGAATGTAGCTTGAAAGTTCAAATATTGTAAGTTTTTGGATAAACAAACAAACATCGTTAGCAAATGGTTAGCAAAATAGGCATATCCTGTGGACGGCCCTGTGTCTCTCCGTTTGGATTTCACTTGATTTTGTTAAGTATTACGACGAATCCAGAGCACTGGTGTCGGTATTTATGTTGGAGGACTGACAGTTCCAAGTGTTCTTTTATTTAAACCAATATCAAATGATTTGGTACTGGTAAGATTAAGTTTCATCTTTTGATTGAAATTTAACTGACCTAATTTGGTAATTGTACTAGAACTAAGATTAATAAAGAAATAAAGAGCTGCTGAACCAACGCCTCCTATGTTTTGTGCTGGTAGAGTTCCCTTAAGTGGATACCAGATGGTATGCAGGGTTGTCAGATAAAAAAATCAAATACCGCTACATTGACAACTAAGATTGTTCATTGATTCTACAATTGTGCCTAGACGGATTTAAGGATTTGCTACTCTCCAACATAATTGATTTGGCGTCTCAGTCAACTATATTAATCTCCAGCATACAAATCATTCACTGAAATTATACTTTACACACTCATTTCGTGCAATGAAGTCGAAATCATATCTTTAGATTTGCCTTTTAAACAGAAGCACTTAATTATATTTTAATTTGAGATGAAGAAATGGTGATTTACCTGCACATTGATTTTCTTCTGCTTTTAAATTGAACAATAAAATATTATTTATGCGTTTTATCATTTCAAAAAAAATATAAGGCACATTTTTTCTGAACCAAATCTGAAGATATTTTATTTATAACCGGAATGAAAGTGATTGCATTCCGTTGAAACAGTGATTACATTAATTGCTTGGTAATGTTAATTTTTTTTAAAGTTAGCTCATTGATATGAAAATCAATAAATGTTTAATTTCTACAAAAGGTTTTATTTTTTTTTCTTGTTTCAAAATGCGTTATCTGATTTAGTACACAAAGGTTTGTTGTTTTTAGATACGTTTTATTACGAATTGAGTATTTATCAGTATACAACGTACATTGCAAAGGGTATTTTCGAAAGAAAATGACACAGGGTTAAGAAATACACACTTAATGGTATCCACCATAAATGAAACTAAATAAAAAATTAAAATAACAAAAATACCGAACTCCAAGAAAAATTAAAATCGGAAAGTCCCTTATCAAATGGCAAAATCAAAAACTCATCAAACGAATGGAAAACAATTGTCATATTACCGACTTGGTACAGGCATTTCCTTATGTAGAAAATGGTGGATCAAACCTGGTTTTATAGCTAGCTACTATGAGGAAATTTCAAAAATCTACTCAGTTTTGTTTGTCGGGATCAAAAGAAATACATTGTACTGTGACTTCGGAGACACATGTAACAGTGCAACCTGTAAGATGTGAGGGTTAATTCCAAATATTCACACAATAATAAAAAAAATTAACATTCATTTTGGGGTTTTACGGTAGATATCAAAATATAATAAGACTTATAATGAAATAAAAGAATAACTCATGATTAATTTTATCGTTAAGATGGTTATTTGATCAAGCATACTTGGTACTTGGTAACAACGTATGTATTTAATATAAAACATATATGTCATATATGACCATTTTGATAAACCATTGCAAAACGTATGTTTTCTGCGAAAATCACATTTATGGGCTGCAGGAATTAAAGGATTTAATGTGTATCTGAAAGAAAATTATTGGATTTACTTTTGGAAGAGTTTTAAGTTTGGTTTCCATTGTCTTTCTCTTTTCTTTTGAAGATAAATACTCCACAGTTAGCATTATACAATGAGACCAGTATTGCAATTTCCTATCAACGCATGGTATTATAGAAGGCTACATTTTACAAAACGCAAATGTGTATTATTTTAAAACAACTTTATTCAATAAATACATACGTTCAATAAATATATCCAATAAATACATGAGACAGGTGAATCACTAGAGTAAGTTTGAAAGTCATGGCAAGAATGAACACAGATGGTAAAATAAAACTGCAATCAGTTATCTCTGTCCTTGGTGAAGAATTGGATAAAGTACCTCTATACCATTTGGAAGATGAGGTCTATTAGTACTTGATAAAAATCTCTGCTGATGTCGAGCTGCTAGTTCACGCAACCGCCGTAAAGTTGGATTCTCTGTTAATTGTGCAGTGCTAAATCCACCAGTTGAATGCGATATTGAATCAAAAGAACGTCTATTACGATCCATACGTAGATTCCGTTTTCTTGATCTTCGTGGTTGTTTTGTTTTTCTTGACAGTTGATCGTTAAGTAAGCTTGATAGTATGTCATTTTCGATTTTTAATGTATCTAGTGATTCCAAATATTGTTTTAAAATTTCAGCATTGTACATGTCATTTTCTATTTCGAGGAGTGACATGTTATCTTGTAAGTCCGAGTATATCAGTTGGTCGTCTTCTACAGTTAAATCTCTCTGAAAAAGAAAATAGTCAATGTATAACAAACACAGTAAATAGAATTGATACTAATGATATCATATAAAATAAACATTATAGGTAATGCTTTTTTTTAATTTTCATTTGTTACAGTTACATAATTTTACTTTTCAAATCGATTGCCATTATAATCATTATTATCATTTTAATTATTAGCGTCTTTACTTATTCGTTTAGCTTTATTAAAGTTTTATTTAGTTAAGTATTTTTTATTCATCATGTTCATTTATTTAAATTATGATTATTTAAATTAATGTTATTATTGTTATTGTTGTTGTTATGAATAGTATTATATCAAGTCAAAATTTCACGTTTTACTCTTAATTCGTATTGAAAAATTTAACCAAAAAATGTGATTTTGTATAATAATAATAATAATAATAATAATAATAATAATAATAATAATAATAATAAATCAAGTAAAAAAGAATGCAAAGAGTTATAAATGAAATTAAAAGAAGTAAATCTTGAACAGGTATAATAGATATAAAAGGGAAATGAAATAATGTATATGATAATTATGTTTGCCAAACACATGTAATCAATCGCTAATGACTGATGCAAAATCCTATCATACAAATAAAGTTGTATCATTTAGATCCTTTCTATTATTTTGTTTTAAATATTGTGAAAGAATCTGATGGTATCTATAATTAATTTTGTAAAAATTTGTACAGAAAATGGAAAAAAAAAACAACACGTTATAATATTCATGTGTCCGATGCGTATAAAGATTGTGAATCAAGATTGAGAAATGAATAACAGATGAAGAACTGCATGAATAAAACATATTTTTTTTTTATAAAAATACGCTATATAGTACATACCTTCCTTACAGGAATAGCTAGCACTGCGGACATACAACAAAGTGTCCAACACATTTTTGAAATCATATTTCTGTCCATCATTGTTATTCTAGAATTATGTTTCAGTTATGGACGTTTCAATTTATATACCATTTACAAATTAAAAAGTCATCTCTGATGCATCTAGGTTGGGGGTATTCACGGGGAGCGCCGCCCACAAAATCTTCAAAAAGCGACCACCTCACCGCCTCAATGATTTATTTGTATTACTCTTTAAAACATAGTCACAAGGTGAGATGGCGAAACGATAATGATACCTCACCTATATGGGAATTTAAATTTCATTCAACACTTCAATTTTATAACTGGATGATCTTCCTATATGGAAAACAGATCATATTTCTTCTATTTTGACCATGCGTAAACATCGTAAATTTTGTAAAATTATTATTTACATTAACCTGATTGTTTCTGATATAACTATCTGGTAATTAATTACTTGTAATGAATACTACTCCTCTGTTCAAGTTAACGATTGAAGCCGCGGTATTGCGGTTACTGGTACTTTAGGTCATGTTAGGCATTTCCGGAGAGCTTAGCACGTGAATGCTGTCGTTAGGCAAGTATATATAACTTCATTGAGTAAGTTAGGCAGTAAAAAAAAAAACCCGTTTCTTCCTTATTTTGATAGTCTTTCGTTTTATATTTAACAAAGAACTTATAAATTATTTCAGTATGTGCATGTTTGACCCGCTTAGCTGTGGCTGTAGTGGTTTCATTCCGTAATACGGTTGGTTGGATCTATTTTATGTCAATTCCAATATGTATACTTTAGAGGAGACCAACAGACCTCTGTAGACAGGTGTCCTTACAATATTTTAAACTTTAAATCACCCTTAGTCGAAACAATTGTGAATAAATAATAACCGAAATTATCAAATTCTGGCATCAACCTTTTATTCCACAAATATAAAAACATTATGATATGACATAAGGCAACTACTAACAAGTGTAGACGCGATTTTAATCAAAGATTTTCGTTTTTGACAAAAATCGAATATGACAAAAGTATTAGAGATAAAAAAAATCCGGAGAAATCAGGCTAATTCAATCCAGTAGAGAAAATGTTAAAGGAAATACTGGATGGTTTACATTGCAAGAGCCCAGTTATAACTTTGTAGTTAAGACTTCATTCCATCCATACGTGTAACACCATTAGTACATTGTACATTTTAAAGCTATTTCCTAGTTATATCATGCACAATCAAAAGAATGTTTAATCAAGCCATTCGACCTTCATCAAAATGACTTTTCAAACCGTGTATGCAGATTACGGAGTCATAATTTATGATATGCATTGTATCAATATCCATTTCTTCATCATGCAACGGAGTCGTAAATATTTCTTGTAATGCGTTATATGAGACCTATTATACATGGTTTAGTGATTCGTATCATCATCTAATGAGTCAGGATATGAGTGTTGATGTCATTAGGTTCACCGCAGTGTGGTGAAGACAATCATGCTTGTATGATTTTCTTATTGCAAAATCTATATACATTTAATAAATGGAGCAAAAATGCTTATCATTCCGGAGTACCCGAGTTTACCTCCAGTAAATAATGGAGTTCGCGTTCCTCAGTCTTTGGTGTTATATCCATATGCAATGTGTTCTTATTGTTGTTTGTCCTTTCTTCGCTTTTATATTTTACCATGAGGTTAATATCTGTTTTTATTGGGGTTCTTTTTTCGAATGTTCCCTTGGTGTATTCGCACTCTTTTGTTTTACAGCAAGATATTCTGGAAAGAAATCTTGCATTTAGTAGGGATAGTGATTCAATTTAAGACCGAACGTCATTTGATCTGCCAGCATTGACGCTCGTTAGGGATAAGATAAAATGCAGTGTACAACCATCTATCTACAAAATAAACTATAGACATCGCAACTTAATATGTCAAATACCACTAAATACACTTCTGAATGGTGGTGCATCGTACAAAAATTTCATTGATTGTCGGCATGTCGAAGCCATGTTTTATGTTGACAATGACATGTCACGCTTTTTTAAGTAAAAGGTAACAGTTGTTTATCAATGTTCAAATTTTGACTGTAGAAATTGAGCGAAAAATTTGAAAAAATCGCTTAAAATTTAAATGAGCAAAACCGGGTGCCTTTGACAGGAAAAAATATTTACGTCTATGCATGCATCAACAGTCCGGTAAATTGCTGAAATAGATTTTTATATTCGTTTCTGATCAGTGACTTGAAGTGACTGTAACATCGTTTAATACACTTTGGGTAACTGTATAACGTTTTACCTAAACTTAATATTAATTGGAGGACTAATTTAATATTTTTGCACCAAACATTATGTAGGTCGATGGCTTTTCGACATTTGAGTATGAGCGTTCCTGAACGGGTATGTATGGTCAGATCATATGTTTTCGTACGTCATATGAATTTGTACTATGCATGCTTTTTCAATGGAAATTTTGACGTCACAATGCATTCTTAATAGTACGAAAACCCATGAGACTGGGATAGGATAGTATTTAAAAAAAAAAACAATTACTAAACTTGTTGCATCCAAATTCTTTACCCCAAAAGAGTGTTATAAAATTCGAACCTTTAGTTCCTTTAATCATGAATGTTGATGTTCAGCTTTCAAAACTAAATACAAATAGAATCCTGCATATTATCACATTCAAGCTTTATAGTCAAGATAGATAATCTTCATAAAATGTCGGCAAAATTGCCATGGCGTTTTCAGTATATCTCTACAATTGAGTTTTGAGTGTCCCCTTAGTGTTTTCCGCCTCTTATTTCTGAATACCCTCCCAAAGACTACAAAACGCTCGTCAGTAGAGCCAGATACTTTTTTTCTGAGTGGACAGAGACAGTTCGATCATATTTTCAAGACAAATATATCAACTAAATGAAATTGATGATGTAATTAATACATAAAAAAGAATTATCAAAACAATTTAACAGCCATAAGTCGCAACCAAACACAATTCTACTCCTTGAGTACAGACGTACAAAACGAAACAAACAACAACGAACAACACGTGGGTCAGAGAGCTCGACATTGATATTGCAAAAATGTGATGGGTTCAAACAATTTTTACAAACCTTCCACTTTGCCCTCATATCGTTTACATAAAGTAAACACATAATAAAAACATATGTATATTTACCACTAGGATGACCCCTTATTTGAAGAAGGAAATAAAATATATTATCATATACTTAGAGTAAATAACTTTTTTACTTTTACAGTATGATAACAGCATTAAATTTACGTGAATTTCATATTTTCCGAATTGGTGTTTAGCGGGCTGATATGAAAAATTTATCACATGCTTTAGCTATTTTCACTTGCCTTTCCGTAACGTTATCGCATGGCATTCCGGCGTTACTCGGCAAATTCCGGAAAATACACCTCAATGGTACGGTTTCAGTGAAAAACATAACAAAGTAGGATACAAAACAATTATTAGGAAACAGGAAAATATATTATGTAAAATGCAAAATTAGCAAACGATACAATAAATGCATATTCAAAGTTTCCAGCATAATTTAGAAAGTTACTTTACAAAATTGTTGTTGATCTTTCCAAACAGTGTTCATTATGTTTTGTTGAATTTTTTTTATCGTCAATATAAAACTATGTTATGCTGTTGTTTTTCTTCTCTGATGAGGCATATGACAGAAAGATTTCATATCGGAATCGGATGTATTACATTAATCGCCCAACGTCCGTAAACTTTTCACTTTTTGAAATTCTACTTGAGAACATCTTAAAAGGTTCAATATATTAAACTATTATTTTTCTCCATTGCTGAAGCCTTCGGCTCTTGGGCTGATATTGTATCTTGGGCTGATAATACATCTAATATGTGTAATAATCTGATAGCACATCATTTGGAAGCAAGGATAAATGTCCTCGCTACTTCGATAGCCACAGCAGCTGTTTGAATACTAGTACTGCCGCTCAAGTACGGAAAATAACACATAACAGTTTTTATAAATTCTCATCATCAACATTAATCATATACGGCAGTATGTATGAGAAACCATCGAACGAAAGTATTTTTTAGCTGAATTGGGTAGAAAACTAGTCATATTTAGCATGTTTTGTAGATCCTCGGAAAAAACCGAATCAAATTTGAAAGACAATGATAATCGTTGCTTATATCTGACATACTGACGTCTTTTTCACGACTGATTTTTTTAATATAAAAACAGATGGAATATACCAATGTGATATGAAAACTCTTATTTCGAAGAGAAACACACAACGCCATGGCAAAAAAAAAAAAAGTTGTTGGTTTTATTATCTATCAGGTTTTCACTTGTATCTTAAAAAAATTGCTAGAATTTTTTAGAGCCAAAACGTAAAACCAAACAAAGGCATTAGACCCATTGGTAAACCAAGCTTTGACGGTACGGCATAACCTTTTAAAACTTTATATACAGTCATACTAGATGCAGACCACACAGTATAACATATTTGTTTTAAACATCATGTTTCTATAATTGATTAGTTAACATACAAGTACCAAATTCACAATGAATGATTAAAAGTACGTTTCTATTTAATCCGATGTTTATTTTATTTATTTAAAACTTTATGAAAGTTGATATTTGACCTAGCATCTTTGTTTTTTTTCAAACATAGTCATTGTGAGTAATACCCCCTAAACAAGGTACTATATAAATTCCTATCAGCAATGTTTATCTATGATCTACCATGTAGATTAATGTTTCGTATGTACTTTAAATTAGGTATTTCATTCATGAAAATCGTCATAATGCTTTCAAGTGAACAAAAGTGAATTTACAGAATTTTAAAATTATTAATATGGTTCATTTGAACTATTTCTGTATTATATCATTTCATCAATCTGTACTCCATAACATATAATATAATGTGATACCATCCTTTCAATATTTATAGAATAATTAATCCAAGGATTCAAATAACAAAAAATAGTCACGAATTATCGGTATCGGTATTCTTGGCTTACTTCTTTTAATTATTGTTACATTATATTGATGCATATAACAAAAATCAAGAATATATAAATATAGTCTACATGAGAGTAAATTCCGCCTGTCAGGTAGTTTAATTTAATGTTTCCACTTTCTTTCTTTTTTTTTTAGGTTTTCAACTAACCATTTTTAAATACATCAATTTGTTTGACCTTTATAACTCTTTTTAAATACATGAACTCATTTTTGGAGGGCACTATGACGGACTGAAGTTTTTCTCATATCTAT